AGGACAACCAATGCCATTTTGCGGGTTCCCCCAAGAAAAGACACCCAAGGTGGGTGTTAGCAACACTTTCTGTGATACCTAACTTTTGGTTTTCCGCGGTTTAAACACTTGAGCCATGTAAACATGGCTTAAACCATTGGCCTCTTTTCCTGTCTCTCTGTGTGGTTGCCCCAACGTCCCGAGCCCGGAGCCGAGCTGGGCAGGTCTGGAGCCACGGAGCTTTGGGCAGCAGCGATCGCTTGCTGCGCCAAGCCTTCGGGGCCTTGGATGCCGGCGATGACTTTGTGCTGCGTCAGATCCTGATGGTCGCTTCTCAGATTTGGCAAGCTTTGCGAGCACTTTCGGGTGCGCTTTTTTCTGGTTTCATCGTCTTGGGCACCGAGATGCAAGCTTTTCCTGTCCAGCCAACTCCGCCGGCCAGGTTTTGCTCCACACCCACGTGAGGCTCGGTCAGTGCGGTCGAGAGCACGATTCCCTGGTTGATGCGGTTAAGTTGGGCGTGGTTCCTCTGTTTTTGGGCAGCCCTTCATGTGGGTTGTCCACACAAACGCCAAGCGAAAACAGGAAGCCATTTGAGACATGCCTCGCCTTTCGGGGATTGCCCACCCAGAACCACTGTGGGAAAAAGGGTAAATGCCCTTTATATATTCATATATCAGGTTGTCTTCTGGGGCAACCTCCAAAATCGGAAGTTGTCATTTTCTTTCCCTTGAAGGCAACCCGGGCACCGTCAAAAAAGGACACACCCATACAGTTGTTGTACATCCCAAGAAGGGGCTTGTTGTTTTTTGGCGGGGTGCTATTAACACAATTTGCCTCATGATCATGGGAGAATACTGGTTGTAAGACATTGTAAGAAAACACAGCCTCTTGTATTGACCGGTTTGGGTTGTAGGGGTGCCTTTCCGGGTGCTCAATAGCCTGTAATCTCTGATTTACCCAAAGGGTATATCAACTGTTTTTCCCAGACATCCCTTCCCCCCAGTTAGCAGCAGCTTCGGAGGTTGCCCTGAATGGACGTTTGACCAGACCACTCCAGGGACGACGTGGTCGGAAAGTCTTTGCTGCACATCGCCACCGCCATGCTCCTGCGCGCGCCCCTTGCCAACGCGGTGACGTCCTTCCCGGGGACTTCAGGCAAGGGCATGGGAAATCCAATCCGTTCTTTTGGAACCCAAGCCACCCACACCAAACAACACCAAGCATGCTGAACTGTGGGAAAATTCCCCGTATGGAAACAGGAGGTTCAAGCCATCAAGATGGATCCTTTAGGGAGCCTACAAGCCTCCTGGATTGGGGCTGGGCAAAGTGCCGGCCATAGCCTGAGAGGGAGGGCGGGAACAAGTCCTTACCACAAACCACCAGGCTTAAACCACCAGACCGTGCCCCCTTAAAGGGAACCGCAACAAGGTGCTCCAACGATAGGGGTTTGGGCATTTTCAAATAAGTTGAGCCAATGGTTTGTGATCGGGAAATCTCACTCTATCTTCGCCCAAGCATCACCAATGTGAAGTTTGAAGGACGTGCAGGGAGTCCTGAACTGCCCCTTTCTGTGACATCAAAGCGTTTGATTCCATGTCTAGGACTACCTGTCACTTTCAAGGACCAGGCGAAATGCGCCTAACCCCAACCACGCCCAAAACAAACTCAAACAAGGCCAAATAAGGCCACAGCCCATAGGCCCAACCCCCCCCCCCCAGAACCCATCCAACTCTCCAACTCCCTCCAAGCCTCTGACCTTGGAGGACCCTCCAAAGTTGTGGTTTCCCCTTAGGTTTTTTCTTTAACGCCCCAAAAAAGGAGGTGTGCCATCAACACCTCTCTCGCATCCGCATCCTTTTCAGGCGCGATGTTTCCAGCCTCAAGCAGCACCTCCTCCACCTTCCACTTGGCGGCGCTCTTGGCCCGCCACGCGCTGCGCCTGAAGCGGTCGGAGCGCTCGGAGTCGGACGAAAACCGCTTCAGCGAGGCCATGCCGCGCGGCAAGAACGCGGGTGTGTGTGTCTTAACTTAACCTTTGGTTCCGGAAGTCTGGAGCTCTCTTTAGGGTGTCTTCGAATCGGACAACAACATGGGAACCCTTCCCCTTTGCCTGGTTGAGGAGGCCCTACGGATCTGTTTGATCGGGCATGGATTGCTGGAAAGCTTGGACCGGGGGACATGGTGCAACACAGAGCTGGTTTGGGGAATTCCACTTCAGATCACACTTTTTGGGGAAACCCCTCGGCTGAAGCAGTCACGGTGTCACAGATGGGATTTTCCCACAGCCATGAGGCTGGGAGGGAAGTGTGCACCCAGTCGGTAAGATAGGGGGCCGAAGTCTACCTCTAAAAGGGAGGTTCCCTGGTATCACAAAAGCCATGAGGAAAAGCCAACGTCTATGATTCCAGGGTCCCATGGCCAAATGGGAACTTGATGAAACACGTGTTTTTCTGGTTGGTGTAATCAGTTTCATCAATTCAGGGCTAAAAACCAATTTTGGTGGCCCAGAATACTTTTGGTTTGACCAACCGTACGATCTGATCATCGAATCGAGGCTCACGGTGCTGGACGTGTTGCAGGCCAGGGCTGCGTCCTTTGCCTCGTCGGCAGGACCTGAGGACCTGGCTGGGGAGAAGCCGGGTGTACCAAGAAAAGCCAGCCCAGTTTTGGATCCCCTGTCTTGGTAAATGGTTGGGGGGAAGTTGGTTCATGAGGACGAGGTCAGCCCGCTCTTGCCTCCCCCTTCTTCAAAGCATGGGAACCATGGTTGTGGAACAAGTTGGGTTGTGGGTCGCCAGTTTCCGTGATGCCAAGGAGAGCTCCCTTTAAAGTGATGCAGTAGTCATGGGAATCAACTTTGGTTTTATGACAACTTTTTGTATACCAAGACACACCACTCCTTTACGTCGTCTTGGGATGGTCGACTTTGGTGCCACAGAGGGGGTTTGGATGAGGATCATGGTGGGCTGCGGGCGCTGGCGGCGTATGCCTTCAAGGAGTCAGGGGGTCCAACGGAGCCCAAGGTTTGGTCGGCTGGGGGCAGTGGAAGCCGTGAAGAAAGTAATGCAGGGAGGGAGGCTTTATGAGGCGCCATGGGCACTTCCGATTCTTCCTTAGAGCAAGGGCACCGACTGGGGAGGTTCCGGGAGGTTTTTTCTGAAGGGACTCTTGGCCCAAGCAGTTGGGTATGTTTCTTCCGCCCTCCCTTTTTTAGATATAGGGAGCCACCTCAAGAGTGATTGGACATGAATCCCCGCCCGATTTCTGTCAATCAGAGTGCCCACTAAAAATCGCACCCATCAGGAGCAGGCAGCTTTGGGACAGGAGGCGGCCGCAGGCGACGGCGGCGTCCCAGCCAGCGGGGTAGGCTGAGATGGTCCATGCCCCGCAACCCATCACCCCTCATAGGTGATTCCTACCTCCAACCGTTGCCGTTCCCAAACAATTTTTCCGCCTGATGGTCCGGAGGCTATTGCCACTTCGCAACAAAGCTACCCACTCGGCGACTCCCCAGACTTTGCCAGCGGTCAAATCAAAGTCTGCCGGTTATCCTAAAGGATATTGGGAATGATTCGTGCGTCCTCCGGTTTTTGCGTCTCTCTGTGACCTTGTTATCCCCCCCAAAACTTGGAGCGGGGGGGGGGGGCAAACATTTTGATGCGAAGAACAAGAGCTTGTGAATTTAGAGGGTATATGGGCAAAAGTGGAGGACGTGTAGGGAGGAGGAGCTCCCCAATTTCAAAATACACATGCGCACACACGGCTATGAACTTTGACAGTGGGCCCTAATGCCCCCCATTCGAACTCCATGCCCATACTTGTGCTTCTGAGTTTTTCCTGATATTGGGGGCCACCTCTTGGATGGTTAAACAAGACAAATCACATGAGAAGCATGAGTCGCCTGTGCGTAAAACCCACTCATCGCTTCAATTTCTTATGGGGTTGGCAAAAGCCGTTTTCGTGGCAAGAGCTATTTGGCCTGTGCAACTTTGATAATACATGAGAGCACCTCATTAAAGCATTCTTCAGTACCTGTTCCGACGAAAGATCCTCCACAAAAGTCTTAGTTTGAGAGTCGGAGATACAGCACCGTGTCCGTGAACCCTGGCCTTATTACGGGCCGACGGCGTTGAACATTTCTTCAAGCTTTGCCAACTTCTCTCTGTGCGCTGCGTTCCAATGAAGCGTGGCAGGTTTCGGGGCTTCCGGTTGGCAGCATCAACTTGTTGGGTTGGGGGGGGGGGGTTTAGCCCGGACTGAGGTGCCGGCACAAGGGACGTGTGCCAAATGCACCCCAAATAACAGTGTTTCCCGCCTAACTTGTGCCTTTGAAGTGGTCTCCAAACCCGATGTTTTTGGAACCTGGGTACGCCGCACTAGCCACTTCTCACACGAGCTTTTGTTGTCTGAGGCTGTAGATTGCTGTTGTTTGGGAGTTGAGGGTTTTGGTGTGCGACCTCAGAAAGGGGGGGGGGGGCTTCTCTGGCATCGCAAAAGTGGGGCAACATCACTTGTTTCCAGAACTATTCTGTGAAATAAGGTGACCAAGGACAAGACGTTGCTTTTGACAGCCGGTGCCGGCCATACAAAGCATGGGCCACCGCACATAGCAGAACAACGCCCGTGAGCTAAATTGCCCCAAAGTCTAGCTACGCCAGCGGGCCTCAAGGAACTTCTCTTAGGCGTGGTGTCTGCAACAGGGAATCTCATGTGTGAGGTCCTCAGCCATGCATGTTCCGCAACCCGTCATGAGCGCAACCATTCCCCCCAACCACCAACCCCCCAACCCTGTGCAACTGTGCAATGCCCAGTTACTCTGCCAGATATATAGCTGTTTTGTGCAAAATCACAAACCATACGCAGGCGACTTGCAACGTTACCAGCTTCTGGTGGTTGTACTACCTGGTTTAATTTCAGTTATAGTAAAACCAATGTAAACCTTTTTTCCCAAAAGTCGGCTCTCGGCTCGTTCGGCGCCAGGGCGAGCCTCTGCCGCCTTCGACGAGCTGGAGGCGCAGATGTGGCGCATCCTGCGGGTGTCGGAGGCGTGAAACGCGGCGCGTTTCTGGAGGGATGAAGACAGGCTCAGACCGGGGAGGTGGTGCCCAGTGTGTTGCCCCTTTTCCCCCAACAGCTGAAAGCTTGCCCAAAGAAGCTTTGGGGTGATTCGAAGCAGCGTTCAAGGACGGTTTCGGAGGTTGCGGGTTCCCGGGGATACCGTGCTGGGGGCCCAACGATTTGCCCCTCTCCCCTTGCTTAAAGTTTAATTTAGGGATTCGATATTTCCTATTTTGTTTTCATGGGGGGCTCATCTATTTTTGCAAATCGGCTTCCCTTACCTGTAACAGGTGCCGCACTTTTAGTGACCTCCTGCCAGCCCTTGGCCTCTCTTTCTCCCTGTCGAAATCATCGGCGAACCTTGCCGTCCAGACTCCCCGTGTTACCCTGCGATTACAGATGTCCAATGTGTGAAGGGTTTGAGGGGAACCTCCCGGGTAGTTTTCCTTTAAAGTTCCAGACAGGGTTGGCAAGAAATGGTTTAAACAGACTCTGGCCTTTGGGTTCCCGTAAAGCCAACCTGACAAGGGTAACAAAAACGATCATTTGTGGAGGACTCTTCCTTCATAACCGCCTGTGTTTCTTTGCTAATTTGCCCGGGGGGGGTCCTCCATTTTTATATCACCTCTTTGGTGGTTTCATGTGTTTTCTGGCGCGGGTTCATTGATGACATCCCCAAGACGGGGAACAGGTGTTTTCCCAGACCCTACGGACTTCCCCAGTGCAATGCTCAAGGCTCAAACACCATTGTTAGGAAGCACACCTCATGAAAGGTAAGGGACGTGGAAGTTTGGCGACTGTCGAACCCGGCTTCAACCTGCCGATGTATTTTTCCCCAACAGGGACAGCTATGGGGTCTTAGCCAATCGTCACTTGGGCAGCAAACAATCCATTGGGGGCGTTTCCTTCGGCGCCCATACTTCTTCGGCACCTCCCCCCCATTGTTGCAGAAAAGGTAGGAGTTTCTCGCTTCCTGCTGGACTTTGGTCACTTGTTGGCAAGCCATTTTGGCGAAACAGTTGTCGGCCCACGTCCCAGGCCTTCCTCACCTTCACCAAGGCAGACCTCTCCGAGGACTTCCCTCTCGCCTTGCTGATGGAGGACGCCGCTTTTGCCTGGCTGGGGCCCAAAGCCGGTGATTCCAGAAAAACTGGTTCCAAAAACGGGGTTCAAATGAGTTTGCTGCTGGGTGGTTGGTTATGTTTGCAGGTTGGAAACGTAGGGAGCCCTGTTGTTGTTTGGAGGCAAGGGACGCTTGGTCCCAACCTCACATGGACTTTCTTCAGAGGTCACGCGTCCCTTGCCAAAGGCCAAGAAACCATGTGATGTGTTTCTCGAACTTGGGGACTCGAAATGGCTGGCTTTCTTTCGGTTTTCTTTATTGGAACCATCCAGAAAGGTCACAGGTTGTTGAAACGCAGGTGTGAAAGCGCCGCAAGCCGCGCTTCCTGAGGTCTTCGGCTAGTTTAGCGTGCCCATCATGCTAGGCTGCACAAAGCTCAATTACGAAGCCACGCCCACGAGCCGAATGCATGGTGAAACGCATCATTTAAACGCGTGGTCAAAACGAATCATTCAAAAATTGGCTTTCAGCTGGGACTGTAGAATGCGCATGCGTGCCGTGCGTGAACAGTTTCAACACCTCACCCTGCCCCCCCCTTCCCACGCACAGAACCCCGAACAACCAGGGTTTTTGTCCGCCTGTTTCCCAAAACAATGGGTTAAACCCATTTTGAGACAGACCAAAATACCGAATCCAACCCTTCACTATTCTTAAGGGACACCAACAGGTAAGCTGTTGTCATTTGGCTTTCGCGCTGCTTAGGAGAAAAGCCCACTATTCCACAACGAGTTAAACTTTTTGCGGAGGGGCAGCCACCGTGGGTTTTGACCCCAGCTGCCAGCCTCAAACATTTGTTTGGTCATGGCTGTTGCCCAGTTGCCACCCTCTTTTTTTTTGGCCATGGCTGATCAGGAGCCGATAATCTTGAGGACGAGTCCGATCCCGCAAAGCAGATTTGTTGAATCTCACAACTTATCAACAGTAGTCGGGGCAGCATCATAACACACTTCAATTATTTTAGTACGGGGAATCAAGTGTTTTGGGAATGACCCAATGCATCCACAAGGAATCCACAAGGCTGTTCGGTGTGATTCCCTCACTCCCTTCTGGGGCTGTCCGCCAACATTTCCAGGACGTGTTGCGCCCAGCACTCGCGATCTCGGACATCGCCAGCGGTGCGCCGGACCAAAGGCAGAGGTGGCTGCCGCTGCGGGCGCTGGCGATTAGGCGAGGCCAGTTTCCCTTGCCACAAACAATTGGGTACCCCCAAAATAGACACCCATATTCCTGAGCCCCCAAATTACCATGGGTCATTTTCTTCTTTTTAGTGGTTTTCCCCAATGGTCATCCCATGTGACGGGCCTTTTGATCAACCCCCATATATGTCGAAATAAGAGGACCTCCAAAGATCGTGGTTGTCGTTTTTGCCGCGCGGAAAAAGCCAAGCCACCGGCAATGGCAGCCACCCCCCACTCCGTCACTTTTTGGAGGTGCCAAACCAAACCCAGAGCTTTCCCTCTTTGGGAAATCAACAATTTCTAGGTATTTGGGCCTGCCCCTCAAAAACGGCTCACCCTCTTCTCGGCTTTGCAGGCCAATGCTGCAAACTTGAGGCGCAACCCAACCCTTCGACCGCATCTTTTCGGGGGCCAGAGAGAGTTTCCTGCTCCCCCCCCCTCCGGCCCACCCCTCCCCGGGCCCACCCCCCCGCCTTTCCGGGGCCCCCCCCGGCCCCGGCTTCGCCTCATCGGAGTTGAGGTGCATGGCGCTGCACGCCTCGCTGAGCGCCGCCAGCGCAGCCGCGCACTGCCGCTTCTTCTCCTCGGTGCTGCGGCGCTGCGTGCCGGAGCTCCTGGCCGGTTCCGCCGAGCCCCAGGCGGCCGAGGCGGCCGAGGTGCGGACATGGGATTTTGATCCGCGTGGTTGCCAAATAGGACACCAGAACGTGGACCGATTCCTTTTTTTGAGAACCCGGAGGGAAAAAAGAGCTCAACAAATAGGCTGGGGCTTGGAAGCGCAGGACCTTTGGCTGTGGGTTTTAGGGCCACTTGCAATGATACCAAGGGAATCCCCTTCAAAGTGGTCAAGTAGTCATAGGAATTACCAATATTGACAGCCGAAAGGGTGATGTCCCCGCAACCCAGGGTGTACCTTGGGGACACTCAAAAAGAATGGCAGCCTTCCGGTTGGCCTGGCCGCTCAGGCCATCGTCTTCCACTGCTTTGCCTTTCTGGTGGATGCGCAGCTCGCCTTTTCCCAGGATGCCTGGGCTCTTCAAAAGGCTGCCCTCCAAAGAAGACTCGCCTTGGAACCAGATTTGTTAGGGGTCCGAACATGTCCGTTTTGAGCCAGTTCAAACATCCTTAATGCTTGGTGTGCTTTCAACCGTGAGATCCGAGGTTTGATTAAACCTAAAAACCATTAGCTTTGGAGCCAAGAGGGTGAGCTGAACCCAACGAGGTCATGCCTGAAGCTTCATTGAGGGTAAAGCCATTGGGAAACTTTAACGCGTGGGCGCTAGTCGTGAGAAGGCCCAAGAAAAACACCCCCCAGCGGGGATCATTTTTGTAAGGCCCTTCGTACAGGCGTTCCCCCAAACAAACCTCGGTAAGGCCTTGCTAAAGTCTCCCCGAAATGTTCTCCTTAAGCACCACCCCACCAAGAGGAACTCGCCTCAAATGAACGACCAACAAGTGATGCGCGTGGGCAGCCTTCTGAAGGACGCGTTGGGGTGAAAGATCGCGGTGTAGTAGTAGGGAAAGGGTAAAAATGAAGCCTCAGGCAAGCAATACCAAGTGTTCTTAAAAGGACCTCCCATATCTGAAGAGTTTAGAGATGAGGTCAAGGATTTCTATTGGCTCAGGGGCATCAACATATTGAATTTTCTGCAATATTTTTGCTGAAATCAGGGTCTATCCCGGCATGGATTGGCGAGCTCTCGGGTTTCCCTTAAAAACCACCCCACAAAGGGCAATGTAAGTGCCAACCTAGTGGGGGATCCTTCGTTTTGAAGCCTTTGGATCTCCGAAACCCGCGCGGAAACTCGCTCACCGAAGCCGGAAGCTGCAGGAGTCCGAGGTCTGGGAGCCCGTGGCCGGTCTGCTGGCAGGCGCAAAAGTCTCTCTCGTTGTTTGTGCCGTGAAGTGCGCGCAGATTTTTGGTTCCGGTGGTGTGCAAACCCCGCACCTTTTGGAACGGCTCTTTAAGAACTGAGCTTCCTTTTTTCCTTTTTTTTGGTGGTGGATGTTTGTAGCTTGGACGTATGGTTGAGACCCTGTTCAGCTTGGACAACGGCGCTTTTTTTTTTAATTATTAAACCATTTATAATGCCCTTGAGCAAAACCCTTGAGGTGCCTGTCTTGAGGGTGAACCTGCACAATCCTCGTGAGGTGCTTCTCTTAGGCAGTGGGTATGTGAAGTAGGTTGTCTATCAAGGACACCTGCCCCAGGATTATGAGCCCTGAGATTTGGCTTGGGATCCATCACCGACCCAGGTTGGCTGGGTTGGCTGGGTTGGCTTGGGTTGGGATGATGAGTTCAAGCCCAGCTCATGATAAACTAGACGAGCTCGGAGCGGAAAGGATGCTGAAAGGTTTGTAGCTCGGAAGGAAGTGGGATACTCCGACTGAAAAGGAGACAAATGCGAAGGTCTTCTTGATTGCTCCAAGGGAGCTACCTCGAAGAAGGTCAGGCAGTCAGTTTCCCTGGCGAGTTAGCACATATCTGTGGGTCTTTCCCCATTTTTATCCGGGATGGATTCATTCATGACATACAAAAGATCAGGCAGGAAGCGTTGCACCACACAATCAAGCCAGCATCGTACAAATCACGCACCTCTTCAGCAACAGTAAGAACTCCTGAAAGCAGCCCCAAAATCTGACACAAGCCAGCCAAAGGCCACCCCCAAGTTCAACCCTAATTAATCTAAGCAAAACAACAACTAATGCCAAGCGGTGGTCAAGGCCCAGCTAGCCCCAACAAACCAAAAAGCCAACCCTGGCAGAGCTCTAAAACCATCTGAAGAAGCCCACCAGATTCCTGCCGTAAGAACTTAAGCGGCTTGAAACCAGCCCTGCAACGCATGGGCTCAGACCTGTCTTGGGGTGGCGACAGATGAGGGGCAGACTGAGCCTGGGGCCCTCCCGCCCTCCTTTCAGTCACGGCACCCAGCCGCTTGCAGCGAGCCACTCAGGCGGTCGGCGCCTGAGCAGCGGCCTGCGCCAGGCGCTCGCCTTGCGCTGCTGCACGCTGCTGCTCTTCAAAGGCAAGCGGATTTGGGGTCTTCACATGGAGCTGATTTTCGGTCTCCAAATGGCTTTTTCGAAGGGGTTTTTCGTGTGTGCGTTTTTTTTTTGGGTGGGGGGGGGGGTGGGGTTTGGGGGGTCGGGGGGTTCGGAGGGTTTGAAGGGTTTTGTTTGTTTGGTTTTGGAAATTTTGTTTTTTTGGAGGCTGATCTACTTGGAAGCTATCTCCAAATGGGTGTGCATCCGCTCCCTTTTTCAGGTTCCCGTTTTAGCCAGGTTGAAGGCAAAACGAGAACCACTGTTTTGGGAGTCACCTTATTTAGGCCCATATGGGTGTGTCGTGTATTTCGGGGAACCCCGAACACCGGCTTCCGTTTCCTTTTGGTTTTCCTTTAAACAAAGGGTCCCCCAAAAAACGACAAACCTAAATGGGTATGACTTTTGATTTTGACACATGGGGGTGATTTTTAAAGGGCGGACCGTTTGATGGTGGGCATCCGAAACCGGTGGGGATTCATGTCGACCAACTTTGTGGTGCCTACTCAAATTCATAGCCACTTGGGTCTGTCTCAAAATTGGGAACCCCGACAATTGCTGATTTCCTCTCAGTTTCCCTTCAACAGCCAACTAACAGAAGTTCCCCTCAAAAAGCCCATGTGGGCGTGAATTGAAATACCGCCCCCCAAAGAAATGGAAAGCCATCCAAACGGGAGCCCGCCATTTTTGTGTGCGAAAACAGCAAGCATGCCTCAAAAGATGCTCATATTCGGACGGGTAAGACCTTAACTGGGGCTATCTATTCTAGTCGGCAGGCAAAATGTGAGTACCCTAGATCCGAGTGGGTACTGTATGTCTTTTCTAGGCGACCCCCCCCCCAAAAAAAAAAAAGAAGAAGAAGAAGAAGAGCAAAACAATAATAAGCCTTTTTTTGCTTCTCCTCGTGGTTTTCCTTACTTTCACCAGAATCCCATTTTTCCTCTACCACCAAAGTCCGTGGGTTTTCTCTTTAAACGCCGCACCCCGCGGGCGCCGGGTTGAGGCGCCGAAGCGAGTGAGTCGAGCGCGGCACGCTGGGCCTGCGCCTGGCTGCTGCTACAGGCCTTCGCGCAGGTGGGGGGGGGGGTCGGGGTTTGTCTTTTTGGGGGGGCACCACGGTACCCCCCTCTTTTGGTGAGGGTGGCGGGAAATGTTACCCTCTTTTTTGGTGGTTTTAAAGTGAAACTCAAAGAGAACCGCAACTGTTTGGGATATTTTGAGACAGGCCCCATTGCAGGGTTTCCTCCGACCTTGGTAAAAAAGCCAAGGAGCTGAAGCGCGGGGAGCTTTCTTCTTGAGCTAGTGGACATGGAAGCTTGGCGACATGTGTGGCTTTGCCTTTGTGCAAATCGCTGATTTGTTCGGTTTTCATTTTTTTGTTTTTTTTTAGTCTGGTCCGATTTTGATTTGCCATCTAGCTTTCCAAGACACCAGCGGGGTTCTTGTGTTGCGCTAAGTTTTGTTGGTGGGGTGATGTGTCACCAATGATAACCTGTGGGTTTGATCAGGTCTGGCAGTCTTTCAAGGAGCAAATGAGGCGATGGCCCGGTTGCCACAAAGTAAAGAGCGAATGAGCCAGTTTGGGAGGTTTCCAGGCACCAGCCTCTTAAGCCGAGTTGCCTTTTCAAGGTTTTTGTTGATTCGAAATCCACCTTTCGCAGATGTGGGCTGGGTTTGGGGCGACGTGTTTTTGGTTGCCACTTTCAGAAAGGGAGTCTGCGGGGCGCACCCTTAGTATAGGTTGGGTTGCTACTTTCTGTGAACGGGTGAAGCGACCTATGGGGTTCCCATGAGTGCAGAGCTACCCCGGAAAAGGAACGATCGACCTTACAAAGGGTTCGGTTGCGATTGATTTGGCCCTCCACTTCCTTTGTTTCTTTATTTTTGGGGGCTTTGTTTCAAGGGTGTGAAGTGCAGAACTCCTCTGCAAAAAAACTCTGGGTGTTTCCCAAAAGGAGCCACTGTTTTTGGTTTGGCTAGTTCTGTTCTGATGGCTTTGGGGTTCTTTCTGTTCGTTTGACGGCTTTGGGGTTCCTTGGGTTCTCACGTGTTGCAGGTTTCCTTTGTTCCTTTGGGTGTGTCCTTTTTGGAGGGTTCGTTTACTATCAAGAATGTGT